CTCACTCCTTCATTGGTTTTCTATCTTCATGTGTTGTATGTGTTAGCAAAAAACCAAAACCAAACCCATTACCATCAAGTCACTTCTGACTCATAGGAACCCTGTAGGACAGAGTAGAACTGCCCCATGGGGTTTCCAAGGAGCAGGTGGTGGATTCAAACTGCCAACCTTTTGGTTAGCAGCCAAACACTTAACCACTGCACCACCACAGTTCCATATGTGTTATAGGTGATTTGTTTCCTCTAAGGTAAGGTATGCACTTTTGTCTCTCATTCTCCTTGTTGTGTTTGAGTGGTTTCTAAGGAGAGGAGGGCAAAATTACCTTTCCTCTGTCATTTTAAATCCTGGAATATCACTGAGAATATTAAAGGCATTACTCCTTTGACTTCCAGCATCTAGGGCTGCTACTGAGAACAATGTCATTTTTATTCTCATCTCTTTATATTGACCTGCTCTTTCTCTCTAGGAAAGGTCCCTGTGTGGTACAAACAATTTAAGCTCAACTGCTAACCTAAAGGTTGGCAGTTAGAACCCACCCAGAGGTGCTGCAGAACAAAAGCCTGACAATCTGATTTCATAAAGAATATAGCCAAGAAAACACTACAAAGCAGTTCTACTCTGGAACATGTGAGTTTTCCATGAGTCTGAATCAAAACGACAACAAGAGGTTTGGTTTTCAGTAATTTTTCTCTCTAGGAGATTATAGTATCTTTTCGTTATAATGGGTAAACTGAATTTTCATAATGATGTGTCTGAGTGGAATCTTTTTGTTTATCCTACTTGACATTTGGTAGAACCTTTCTATTTGAAGACTTATGTCTCATTTCAGGTGAGGAAAATGTGTTTATATTATTTATATCACATTTCTTTAATTAAATTCTTCTCATTCATTTTATTATATGTTCAATTGTGGTTGAACTAGGAAAACAGAGAATCTCTTTGTCATCACTACAAGCCTAGCACTGAGTAACAAGCAGCAATAGTGTACCGCTGAGAGAGGAGCAAAGCCTGGAGAGAGACCACCTCTGTGGTGCAATCATTCAGGGACGGCTGAAAGCTGAGTAAGGAGATGAACAAAAAGAAAAACCCTCTAGCACAGCTTATGTCCTCCTAAGCTTAAGACAACAGCAACCCACCACTAGAAGTATTTGAAGCCTGTGGTACACTAAAAATAATGACAGGGACAGCAGAGACCAGCCTAGCACAACTTCTGACTAGATTGACCCCAATTCTCATACTAACATTCTGGCACAAGAGGAGACATGTCCATTTCTAGGCATCAATACTATTTACCTCAGTCTCTACTCTTCTACACACAATGTCCAACATTAGATAAAAAATTACAAGACACACACAGAAGCAAGAAGATCTAAACCCATTGTCAAGAAATTAATCACTAGAACGAGACTGAGCCTAGATGTTGGAATTATCAAACAAGAATATTAAAATGACTATAATTAGTATGTTAAAAGATTAAGTGGAAAATATATACAACATGCATGAACAGGAAGAATTTGAAAAGAGAAATGAAATCTCCAAAAAAGACCCAAATAAGATGCTAGAAATAAAACAACAAAGTATGAGAGGTAAAGAATTCCTATGATGGGCCCATCAGTAGACTGTGGAAAAAAATCAGTGAACTGAAGACAGTGCAATAGACTAAAACACAAAAAGATAAAATAATAATAATAAAAACACAGAGCACCCAAAAGCTTTGGGATAATATGAAATAGTCTAATATATGTGATTGATTTCTCAAAAGAAAAAGAAAGAAAAAATGGAGCAGAATTCATATTTCAAGGGGCAACAGCAATAATTTTCCAAAAATAATCATTAAAACACAGATTTAAGAAACTGAGAGAATCTCAAATAGGATAAATACTGAAACAATACCATCAAACTGCTAAAGATTGAAGATAAAGAGACAATCTTGAGGACAGCATGAGAAAAAAACTTTATGTGCTGAGAAACAAAAATAGGAACTGTACCAGAATACTCATCAAAAATTATGCAGTCCAGTAGACAATAAAGTGACTACTTTCAAATACTGATACGGAGCCCTAGTGGTGCAGTGGTTAAGTGTTCAGCTGCTAACCAAAAGGCTGACAGTTCAAATCCACCAGTCGCTCCTTGGAAACCCCATGGGGCAGTTCTGCTCTGTCCTATAGGGGCACTATGAGTCAGAATCGACTTGACGACAATGGGTTCAAATACTGATAGAAAAAGTTCAGCCCAGAATTCTATAGCCAACAAAAATAATTCCAAAATCAAAGGTAAAATGAAGATTTTTCTTGAAAAAGAGATGATATAATTAAAAGTAAACACTATTACATGCCAATTAATAGATTGTCAAATTGTATAAAAAAAACTAGGACCAACTATATGCTGTGCTCAAAAAAAAAGACCACTTTAAATATAAAGGGGTGTGTATGTGTGTGTGTGTGTGTGTTAAAAGTAAATGGATGTAGAAAGATGTATCGTGCAAACACTAATTCAAAGAAAGCTGGAGTGACTATATTATCAGGAAAATAACTATTAACAGGTATAAAGAGGGACATTACTTAATGATAAAAAGATCAATCTACCAAGAAGACATAATAATCCTACATACACTAGCAAAAGAATGTCAAATGCATAAAGCAAAAACCAATGAACAAAAAGAAATAGGTAGAGATATCAAAACTCTTCTCTCAGTGTCTTAGTCATCTAGTGCTGCTACAACAGAAATACCACAAGTGGATGGCTTTAACATAGAGAAATTTATTTCTTCACAGTAAAGTAGGCTAAAAGTCCAAAATCAGGGCATCAGCTCCAGGGAAAGCCTTTATCTCTGTGTCAGCCTTCTCATCAATGTTCCCCCAGACTAGGAGCTTTTCTGCGCGGGGACTTCGGGTCCAAATGACATACTCTGCTCCTGGCACTGCTTTCTTGGTGGCATGAGGTCTTCCTGTCTCTCTCCTCACTTCTCTCTTTTATATCTCAAGAGATTGCCTCAGGACACAATCCAATCTTGTAGATTGAGTCCTGCCTTACTGACATAACTGCCACCCATCCTCCCTCATTAACGTCATAGAGGTAGGATTTACAACATATAGGAAAATCACACAATAGCAGGAATCATGGCCCAGCCAAATTGATACACACATTTCTGGGGGGATGTAATTCAATCCATGACACACAGTAATCAGTAGAACAAGTTGAACAAAATATCACTGCATGGAATATCTCAATAACACTGTCAAACATCTAGTCCTAATCGACTTTTGGAGAATACACAGCAGTAGTAGAATATACACTCCTTTCAACTTCACTGGAACATTCATAAGGATAGAATATACTATGTACCATAAATCAAGCCTCGACAAATTTAAAATAAATCATAACAGAGTATGTTTTCTAACAACAATGAAATTAAACTAGTAATTAATAACAGAAAGATAACCAGGAAAACTCTAAATATTTGGAAATTAAATAACTGAGAGGAGTAAGTCAAAGGGGGAATTAGAAAATATTTTGAACTGCATGAAAATAAACTCATAATATATCAATGTTTGTGGAAGGCAGATAAAACAGTGCTTCAAGAAAAAGTATAGCATTACTCCCACTCAAATTCTTATCATGTATTTTTTTTGTAGAAATCAACTGATTAAAAATGTATATGGGAGTACAAAGGATAGGATTACTAGTGATGTCTATTTTTGCTTATGTTGACATTTCAACTTTTTCTAAATTAAACATGCATTTTACTCATGCAATTAAAACAAAAATTTCAAACAACACCAATCTCCAAATATAAGGGATTTATTAGGAAAAAAGCCAAAATGTACAACTGGGAAAAAACAGGAAATTTGTGTAAGTAAGAAAGTAAGAGAGAGAGGGAGAGTGTGTGTGTGTGTGTGTGTGTGTGTGTGTGTGTGTGTGTGTGTAATTGATGGAGGGGGTGGTGAAGGAGTACTTTCAAGCCCTAAATTCTATGAATAAGAAAGATGAAGGTGCTGGAACCATAGTTACCATGGCCAGCCTGGTACAAAAGAAGCACCAAACCAAAGGTGAGATGAGAACAGAGATCACGTCTGTCTTATTCACTGTTGTATATTCAATCTGTAATAACAGTGCTTAGCAGTCAGGAGATACTTGTTTAAAAAGAAAAGAATGAAGAAGGAGGATAGGAAGAGGAAGAAGGACGGAGCAAAGCAAGGCAAGAAGATTAGAATCTAAGAAAAGACAGAGCACCATAGGTGGTGTAAGGGAGGAAACACCTAGCAGATGGGTTAGCTGTTAAATCTTTCACACTTATAGCTCAGTAGGAGCAGATTTTAGGGCTTGGACAATGCAGCTTAAAGAAAGCCCAGTTCTTTGAGGCTTACACATGAGAACAGAGAAGTGATGAATGGGAGGACCAAGGCTCAGGATAGAGGGTCAAGGTTAAAAAAATTGTTGCAGAGATCCTTGTCATTGCAGCATGAACTTTCCATGCGCCAAGATCCTTCATACAAAGCTTCAAAGCCACATAAGTACCCACAGAACTGCAATCCATACTGGACTTTGCCATCTGCGGAAGAATAAAGACAAGAAAAAGGAGACCTCCTTCAAAAAAGGCAAACATTTGCTACCTAAGAGGAAAGCAATAAACATTTCTTGGAAGTAGCAATGATTCAATGAGTGAGGAAAAACAGCACATTGATCTGGGCATGAAGCTGCTTGGAAGGAAGGAACTGAGACGAATGAGGTGGGACCCTCGTGGGTCATCCTCTCCCAGCCCTGAATTCTTCCCCACAGAATCTCCAGTTCCCAAAAGCCCTACCACAAACAAACCCCAGTGCAATTTTTATAGCCCAATTCGTGTCATCCCTCAGGATCTAATAGTAGCACTCAAAGGCCCAGAGACCCCTCAGCAAGCCCTTTTTCTCCTGATAGGTCTACTGGTCGAGTCAAGGGCTAGTGGCAACACAGCACCAGAACCAGAGGACGCTGTCCCAAATCTCTCTTCTCTGGCCCTCAAGGCTCCTGAGAGAGCCACCTCTCTCAAGATTTGGCTAGGGTCATGACAAGAGGCTCCTCAGTCCCCACCTACCTTCATAGTACTTCCTCAGAATGCACTTCTGATATTTTCTGGCTTTGCATGTGTTTCTCTCAGTCTGGCAACTCCCATCAGGATTGACATAACTACAATTGTGACATTCTAGAGCTGGAAAGTCAAAATCAGAATAATGTGGCTCTTCCTGGGCCCAGCTTTGCCATAGGTCAGAAGACAGTGCCCACCACTTGTCCCACACCTAGCATGAACAATGAATGTTCAGTTTCCCATACATATTTGGTGTATATTAGTGTGCTGTAAGCACATGTTTGATTTCTTGGTGGTTGGCTTATAACAGCGTAGCATCTTTCGCAAATCTGGGGGAATGTACCAAGGGCCTTTGTGGGGAGGCAGTATGCATGCCTCTGGGGGCAGGGCCTGGGCCAATTCAGACAGAATTTCTGTACTTACAGGTACTCAGGCTTCCTGAAATTGATGGTGCTACTGTAGGGTGAAAATCATGACCTACATTACAGGTTCCCCCATCCCATATCCTGTCACCCTCAATCCTTCCTCCCAGCTCTTTCAGAACAACCCTCATCTTTTGCCCTCATTGCCCACAAAAAACCATGTTAGCTCCCTTTCAACTCAAATTTAGGGCCATCAGGAAGAAAGCAAGTGGAATTTGGGAGTATCAGAGATTAGAACGCAGGCAGCAGGGAGAAGCTTGAGCTTGAAGTAAAATAGGGGAGAGAACAAAACAAGAAAAAACCGTTGCCATTGAGTTGATTCCAACTCATAGGGACCCTATAGGACAGAGTAGAACTGCCCCACAGAGTTCCAAGGAGCGGCTGGTGGATTCCAGCAGCCAACCTGTTGGTTAGCAGCCAAGCTCTTAACCACTGTGCCACCAGGGGAGGGAGGAGGAAAAACTAAAGAGGAGCATAGTGAAGCCAAAAGCCAAGGAGGAAGCAAAAGAGAGTGGAGGCCAAGGGGAGACAAACAAGTGCGGGTGGAGTGGAGGCTGTGGAGACCATCTTTAAAGGGAAGGCCAGGACCACTCTTGCACCTCACTCCTCACCTCCCCGTGGACCAACAATCCACAGCCACCGGTGTGGGTTCTGCTAACTTAGATCAAGCCCCGACCGTCCTTCCAAATGCTCCCAGAAGCTTACCTTGCAGGAAATCCAACAGAATGGAGAGGCCCAGCAACAGCAGCAGCAGGTGCTTACCCATCTCAGAACAAGGGAAGAGCAAAAGACAAGGGCAAGAGCCAGGTGCCTCAGCCCCTGAGAATCGCTGCTTTATAACCCCAGGATGGGAGGAGCAGCCAGTGGAAGCCCAGGAGTACGCTGTACTTCCCCTTGCCTCAGGGGAGCCCTGGCCTGGCTGCTCCCAGCATCCCTGGCTCTGGTCACGTCCACAGAGAGCCAAAGAGCCATGTTCTTCCATTTCTTCTTTTTGTCTCATTTTAACTAGCATTAAAATGGGAGAATCGTATCTGCTTTATGCAGCCAAAGAATTTGTGAGATTCAGGTGAGTTAATGACTCTGGAGGCATGCTGGCTTCAACACTCCATACTTCATAGGACTAAAAAAAAACCCCATTGCGGTGGAGTTGATTCCGACTCCTAGCAACCCTGTAGGACAGGGTAGAACTGCTCCATAAAGTTTCCAAGGAACAACTGGTGGATTCAAACTGCCAACCTTTTGGTTAGCAGCCAAACGCTTAACCACTGTGCCACCAGGGCTCCCTTCACAGGACTACTTCCCTGAAATACGGTGGGAGGTGAGATATTTGAAGCGCCTAACAAAATATGTTCAGAGAAACGGATATATGCTTTCACTGTTGCTAAATAAAGCCTGAACACAAAATAGGAGTGTGGGGCTTACCTACTAGACCGTAGTCCAGACTAGATATAGTTGTTAGCTGCCGTCCAGTTAGCTGCCCCCGGAATCATGGTGAGCCTATGTGTTACAGAGTAGAACTGCTCCATAGGGTATTCTTAGCTATAGTCTTTATGGAAGCAGATCACGTGCCTTTTGTTCTATGAGCCGCTGAGTGGATTGGAACCACCAACCTTTCGTTCAGCAGCTGATACAAACCGCTTCTGCCACACAAGCAGCTCCCAGGCAAGATAGGGATGATTATTTGCTTACAAGTTGATGAATGAAATTTAAAAACCTTGTTCTCAAGCAAAAGTTCTGTTGCTTTGGCATCAGGTTCCTGTGTAGCTCTAGGCACATCCCAGAACATGGGTCCTCCCTTACCCAAACACCTAGCTTCAAGAATTGACATCCCCTCACCTCTCCATACACCCTCTCCCAGTTTAAGGACAGGAAATGCGCTGAAGTGGAGAACTCACTCCAGAGAAGTGTAATTCATCCCTACCTCACCCCAAATAACATAAGAAGAGCTTGCTATATGCCAGGCATGTTGCTAAATGCTTGGAAAATATTTCATTTGATTCTCACACAGCATCCCATGTGGTAGTTATCAACATCTTTATCTTATTCATGAAAAAAACAAGAGGAAGCAACTGGTCCAAGGAGGCAAAGAGGATAACTGGCAGATTCAAACACAGGTCTTCCAGACTTCAATGACTCTGTTACTGTGCTAGTGACATCCACTTCTTTATGGGTCCCAAGAGCCTCCAAATTAATGTCTGAGGACTAGAGGGTCGGAGACCCACTTCAGAAGTGTCACCTGTAGCTCTTTTAGACAAGGAAGGTTCCTGGCACCAGCCTCACATTATAAGCAAGAATAGACATGTGTCAGCAGAAATAATTTTCTATCATCTGCTAAGAATAAATATTTTACTAAATGGTTCTTCTGGGAGACCCATTTAGCCCTAATCCTAGAATGCTCCAGATCAGAGAAGGGGATGTGCCCTATTGCTTAGCCCAGACTGAAAGAATTCCTTTCTTTCATCTCCCTGGAGCTTCTCTTTGATCCTCCTTCCGGAGGGCCCAGTTGTGCACGCTCCCCAATGCCAGGGATTCCTCCTACCATTGTTCACAGTCAATCCAGCAGTAGACAAGACAGACAAGACCCATTTTAGCCTGCAGAGGTGCTGAAGAGCTATGTGTTGTGCATAGTTCATAAGATTGGCTTGGGCACCAACAACATCAAAATCTCATGGCAGAGAAGCATGTGTCATGTTAATAAGTTTATTGAAATTTAATAAGTGAATATATTGTACTAGAAAAAAAAAACTAATTTTCTTAATACAAACTGCCCAAAGCAAGGCTTGACAAAATCATCTCAGCACAGGGAGCTATCAGAAGGCAGTTAATCCCCATTTGAGCCAGAGTCAAGGAGGTATATAGGGGCTTTCCTTAGGGTTGTCAAAGTAATGGAGGCACAAAAGAAATTATTTAGGGTTTATTCAAGCAGTTCATCTATATGCATACAGGGAGACCTCTCAATTCAGAAAAGTAGCAGGGCTCATTTTAGGCTAGTTAAGGTGAGCTTTTAAGGAGAAAAGTAATGAAACACAAAGAAGGAGATAAACCATTTGCCTACTGCTAGCATAATTAATTCATGCTTCTTTCCCTTCCTTAGGCCAATAGGTGGTCCTTGTGGCCCAGCCAGCACTCATTCATGGGTACAAGAAAGGTGTCTCAATTATTCAGGAAAATCTAAAGGTTTAGAACTATTGTCTAAGGAAAGAAGGGCTAAAACTAGATTACCTTGTAAAGTTAAATTCTTTCCACAAGGTAAACTTTAAGCAAGTCCATACTTAACAAATGTCTTATCACAAAGAGATTTTATGAACACTATGTCTCCACCATGTCTCGTGCGTTCCTGTTTATCTGTAATAGGGTGCATTCCACTTTGTTCAGAGTCATTGTGAAATTTCCTATGCACTCAGAGGAATCTGTAAAACTCACCTAAGTTTTCTTTTTTTAAAAAAAAACAATATTCCCTCCTCTTGGTCATACTCTCAGGCATACTGAGAGCTTGTCCAAAAATTTCCATCACTGATTAGTAGGAATGTCTGATGTCTGATTTTGTTCCGTATGTTTCTTCTGATGGTGACAGTGGATATCATTTGTCGTCTTAGTGCATTTAAGATTGTAGAAATTATACATTTTAGGAGGGTAACTACAATGACAGCAACCAAGAGGGCTATACCCAAAGTTTGGAAGATTCTTCTGAGCCAAGATTCCTATATCTGAGATTTATCCAGGAGAATAAATCCCATGGAGTTTCAGTTTTCACTTTGGCCAGTTCAGCAGCTTCTTGTGCATGAGCTTCACTTTGATAAATTTCATGCTGTGTATCATTTATGTACATACAGCATGGTGACCCAAACAAAGCACAAACACCCTGTGAGGTCAACATATAGTCTAAAGCTAATCTATACTGTAAGGTAATTTCACGAATTTCTAATACTTCTTTGGATAAGAAAAAGATATCTTCCCCAAGTTGTGATGATGAAGTTTCTAGTTCTAATGCTACTTTCTCTAGTTTGATTTGTAATCTTAAAGCGTATCTTCCAATGCAAGAAAGTCCAGCTCCTGTGACTAAAAAAGCTATTCCCATAATCAAGCATCCTAAAAGTTTGCCTTCAGTTAGAGGATTTTATATACTTCCATTTGGTGCTGCATTTAAATGGGTAATAGTTTGTTCTTTTGTTCCTACATTGTTGGTCCCTCTCATATTTCTAATTTTTCCCAGTGGGTAAATGATTATGTAGGGACACATGGGAACAGCATAAGCTATGTAGCAAAAACCGGTCTGATTTGTAGGTAGAAAACGAAACGATTAGTGGCCTGTAGTTTACCAAGGGCTGTAAAAGAGCTCAAAGACAATGAACAGCACCAGTGTCTCACAGCCTGCAAGAGGGTGCTATAATTTTCTATTGAAACATAAATTTCTCTCTACAGTAACTCTTTTTATTTAAATTATTTATTTTGTTGATAATGTTGTTGAGAATATACACAGCAAAACATACACCAATTCAACAGTTTCTACATGTAAAATTCAGTGACATTGATTACATTCTTCTAGTTGTGCAACCATTCTCATCCTTCTTTGCTGAATCGTTCCTCCATCATTCACATAAACTCACTGCCTCGTAAGGTTTCTGTCTCATCTTTCATGCTGCTGCTGTCACTTTGATTCCACACAGATATTTCTTAAAAGGGCATAATGCTCAAGGCAGTCATTTTTTTGCTAGTTAAGTTAAACTATTGTTTGGTTTTAAGACTTCAGGGGATATTTTTGGTTTAAGGTTTATAGATTATCTCAGGGCAATAGTTTAGGGGGTTCAACCAGCTCCCATAGCTCCAGAAAGTCTGGATTCCATGAGAATTTTAAATTCTGTTTTGTATTTCCACCCTTTTGATCAGGATTCTTCCATGGAATCTTTTTTTTTTTTTTTTGACTTTTGTTCATGGTGACCCCATGTGTGTCAGTATAGTACCGTACTCCATAGGGATTTTATTTTTTTGTTGTTGTTGTTGTAGTTTAAATGAAGTTTACATTTCAAGTTGGTCTCCCATTCAAAAATTTATACCTACATTGTTGTGTGACCCTAATTGCTCTCCCTATACCATGACAGCACACTCCTCCTTTCAACCCCTGATTCTCCATGTCCATTCAACCAGCTCCTAACCCTCTCTGCCTTCCCATCTTACCTCTGGAGAAAAGCTGCCCATTTAGTCTCTAGTATCTACTTGAGCTAAGAGGCACACTCCTCACGAGTATCAGTGTATGTCCCACAGTCCAGTCCAATCCCTGTCTGAAGAGTTGGCCTCGGAAACTGTTTTAGTTCTGGGCTGATAGAGAGTCCAGGGGCCATGCTTTCCGGGGTTCCTCCAGTCTCAGTCAGACCATTAAGTCTGGTCTTCTTACTAGAATTTGAGTTCTGTACCCCACGTTTCTCCTGCTCCATCAGGAACTCTCTGTTGTGTTCTCTGTCAGTGTGGTCATTAGGGGTAGCCAGCCACCATCTAGTTCTTCTGGTCTCAAGCTAATGAAATCTCTGGTTTATGTGGCCCTTTCTGTCTCTTAGGCTAATACTTTCCTTGTATCTTTGGTGTTCTTCATTCTCCTTTACTCCAGGTGGTTGGGACGAATTGATGCATCTTAGATGGCCACTTCCAAGCTTTTAAGACCCCAGATGCCACTCACCAAAGTAGGATGCAGAACATTTTCTTAATAAACTTTGTTATGCCAATTGATCTAGATGTCCCCTGAAAGCATGGTCCCCAGACCCCTATCCCTGCTATTCTGTCCTTCAAAGTGTTTGGTTGTATTCAGAAAACTTCTTAGCTTTGGTTTAATCCAGTTGTCCTGACTTCCACTGTAGTGTGTGCTGTCCTTCCCTTCACCTAAGATAATACTCGTTTACCATTTAGTTAGTCAATAACCCTCACCCTTCCTCCCCACCCTCGTAACCATCAAAGAATGTTGTCTTCTGTGTGTAAACCTTTTCTTGAGTTCTTATAATAGTGTTCTTATACAATATTTGTCCTTCTGTGACTGACTAAATTCACTCAGCATAATGAATTCCAGATTCCTCCACATTATGTTTCACAGCTTCATTGTTGCTCTTTCTCATTGCATAATATTCCATTGTGTTAATATACTGTAATTTGTTTATCCATTTGTCCATTGATGGGCAGCTACGTTGTTTCATCTTTTTGCTATTGTGAACAGTGCTGCAAGGAACATGGGTGTGCATATATCTATTCGTGTGATGTCTCTTATTTCTCTAGGATATATTCCAAGGAGCAAGATAGCTGGATTGTACCATACGATTTCTAGCTTTTTAAGGAAGCACCAAATCGATTTCCAAAGTGATTGTACCATTTTACATTCCCACCAACAGTGTATAAGCATGCCAGTCTCTCCACAACCTCTCCAGCGTTTATTATTTTGTGTTTTTTGGATAAATGTTAACCTTGTTGGGGTGAGATGGTATCTCATTGTAGTTATGATTTGCATTTCTCTAATGGCTAATGATTGTGAGCATTTCTTCATGTGTCTGTTAGCCACCTGAATATCTTCTTTGGCAAAGTGCCTGTTCATATGCTTTGCCCATTTTTTAATTGGGTTATTTGTCCTTTTGTTGTTAAGGTTTTGCAGTATCTTGTAGGTTTTAGAGATTAGACGCTGATCAGATTTGTCATAGCAAAAAAATTTTTACCAGTCTGTAGGTTGTCTTTTTACTCTTTTGGTGAAGCCTTTTGATGAGCATAAATGTTTGATTTTACAAGCTCCCAGTTATCTAGTCTTTCTTCTGCTGCTTGTGCATTGTTACTTATGGTTCATATTCTGTTTATGCCATGTATTAGG